GGATAATCTTCTTTTTACATAATGCCAAAGTTTGAATTTTGGGGTAACTAAATGAGGCCTCGTTTTTAAGCCCTCGTTTAGTTGGACCCCAAATTCTAAAAAGTTGCTACAGTCCTTGTCACATCGAATGTTTGCGGTCTGTGCATCGAGCATTAAATGTAGACGAAAAAAAAACTAATTGCACAGTTTGGTGGAAAATTGCGAGACGAACGTTTTGAACCTAATTAGTCCATGATTGAACACTATTTACTAAATAAAAACGAACGTGCTACAGTAGCCCTAAAATCCAACTTTGGCGAACTAAACGCGCGCTAAAAAGCAGAGGTGTAGCGTTTGAAGGACCCCAGTTGCCAACAGAATTTGTGGTGACCTGTCAGTCTTACGTGGCCACATGGCCTTGGACCCGCATGGGGCATGCATGCAAGGGCGGTGTCAGACTGTCAGTCAAATGCCATTTGCTGGCTGGTTAATAGTGGACTAATAATAAGTTTAACCGTGCTATGCCGACATGGGTGCCTTTGCATTAACTTAACCCATCGCATTGGCCAGTATAAAAAACCTAGTTCGTTCCTACCTACTTGGCCAATCCACTCGAAGCTTTGTCAGCTTTAAGATTCCTCCTCGAGAAATCGGACGGTTAGAAATATCTTTTCTTCCTGGGGCTTCTTCTCTGGACCTTAGATACCTTGCCTCCGCTGTGCTTCGCATTCTCGCACGACTTCTACCGTGCTACATAATCGGGTTGGGTTGTGTACGTGTCCAAGAGACAAACCATAGATGGTGTGAGTTTGTCAAATCCTAGATGGAGTAAGATGCAAATCAATGGCACGTAGACCATGCTCCTGGACCAATTTTGTTCGGTGGCCATGATGTAATTGGTTATATTGGGGAAAAAAGGGACGAGCTCAAAACAACTTTAACAAAGTGTTTGCTACTCAACGAGAGAAGTGAAAGACAGAGAGCCTTGACTTAGATTTGATAAAGAAACACCCGAGTCGACCAATGCATCAAGTGAAATCGGCCCATAATTTTTGACCCGTAACCCAACCCAACATATTATATATAAAAAGAAATAACCTAACCTGATGTGTTGGTTCGGTGGGTGTGGGCCAAAAGTTCGATCCGACATTTCTCCCCGACGGCCTAACTTGAATCCGCTCCAACTCGACATTTGATCAAGTCTAAGTCCTAGCTTGCCTCTTATATTTGTGTAATTTAATTTGTACGATGACCCTTGTGTTGTGCATATGACCTTGAGATGAGATGGTGGTGACATTTCTTCTCCCATATTGTCAACAGCTGCATATGCCACTACCTTTCACTAAGAGAGAGCGGAACCTGGTGGAGCACCAGCTAGCGCAAATGGCTAAGCGTCTGCGTCATAGTGCTGTGTGGCACTCTCATGTTCCTTTCTATGTTGGGTCTTTGATTGCTCATGACTGTAAGACAATGAGTTCCATTTAATATAGCTTTCTCTTGATTTGCAAAAAAAAGGGGGACAGGGGCAGAAACCCCACCTAAGGCCTTGTTTGGATGCATGTATATTCACTTCAATCCATATGTGTTACAGTGGAATAGAATGGAATTTAGTTCAATTCCACTCCAATCCACTTCAATACATGTGGATTTAGATGAATACATACACAACCAAACAAAGCCTAATAAATATTAAGCAAAAAGAGATCAATATAGTTAACAGATGACAACCCCAGCATACTATGGTGAGATCACAATAGAGGGCAAGAAAAAAAAAACTTAAAACTAAAATCTAGAATTAAACGAATGGAAGGGGTATTGATTAAAAATTTAAAATAACAACCAAAGCCTATGTAAAATCAAAGCCCCAAGCACCTTGAAGCTTAAATTCTTCTACAAAAGCAATCTAAGAAGTCCTTAGATCTATCACACCTAATCAAGTTATTAGCAAAATTCACACTAAGGTGTAGGTCCTTAAGAGCCAGAAGTAAATCTATGGTAAACACTCTACCACCACGGAATCCTAGTTATCACTCAAGAGAACTAGCACAGAAACAAAGCAAGGCAAGAAGTAATGCAAGATTAGAAGAGAGGCAAAGAGATGACCCAATTTTTTCTGTGGTACTAGGTTGTTGCCACAACCACCTAGTTTGTATTGGAGCACCAAAGAGTCACCGAGACTCAATTATATGCTCTGCTTCTCCACTCTGGAATGGCAGGAGTCAAACTATGAACACTAGTTGAAGCCTCCTCAACAAGAACTCCACCAAGAAAGGTCACTAAGTCATATGTCGGGGCGTCTAGGTGATAGCGATCATCAAGAGTAATAAGTATTCAACTCTAATTAAAATAAATCAAACCAAGAACATCGGTAACACTCAAGGCTAACTCTCCAATATCACCTTTTGGTTTGGATGACTCTCCTAAGGCTTATTTCTCCCTAAGTGTTGGAAACAATGGGATGGAAGATTAGTTCAAAAAATAAAGTTAGATGTTGCACTTATATTTAGGGATGAAGGGCCTGTTAGTCATTAGAAAAAGGTAGCAAACGTAGTCACCACTGGATGATCCGTTGGTCTCCATATTGTTGTTACCAGATCATATGGTGACTCTGTGCTCATCTATGTTTCCAACAGTCAAAAGAATATACTAGAATATTTCCCACCGGATGATCCCTCGGGAATCACAATGTCTCTATCGTCCAATGCATGTTCTGGCGTGTTTTTAAGCTCGTTTTTTAATCCGATCTCAACCAATTCGACCTTCTTAAGATCTTTGACTTTAAACCACATCAATGATGCCACTTAGCATCTTGACCTTGACCGAGAGTTAGCCTCTTTGTGCATTCCAATGCTCTTTCGTGACCCCCCCCCCACCCACAACAGTACAACCAAAGAAAAAACAAAAGCCCTAATTCACGCTACATTGAACGTTCCCCGAGCGCCAAGCTTATATTTGCTCAGTTATGTCCTCGGTCTTCACGAATATCCTTTGCGCAATACGCTAACCATCAACCCAAGTCTTCAGGGCCAAGACACTCGTGGCTTTGAACTTGTAACTAACTCCAATATGATTATTGTTGCAAAACACATGATAATAAAAAACACCTGTGCTCGTCAATCACCAAAAACTAAATCGCCGCGCTGGCTGTACCTCGTCTATCACCAAATACAAAACCCCCCACTAAGCCTGCACTCAAAGTCATCACCGGAAAACTAAATCGAAACCCATTTCTGGTGGGCCTGGCCGGCTCGACAGTGCAGGGCGTGTGCACAAGGTGCCATTTTGTTTAGTCGCAAATGGAGTCCAGCCTATGATTTAGCCAACCTTACGAGCTGAGTACAACCTTGAGAAACAATCAACAAAATACTAGAACTATTTGCACGCCCTTGGCGTATACCTGAACGCGCTTGGCGTGGCACTGGTGCCCTGGCTGGCCCAACCATAGACGCCAACCAATTGCCAGCCTCTTCCCTGGTTGCTGGGCCTTTGGCACGGCTTGAAGTAGCCCATATTTCCTACTGGCCTTACAGCCCGCGCTGACTGCCACCGCCGCCGCCTACCGGGCCGAGGCCGCGACGCAGATCTCCAGGGCTAGGGACCACGTGGGCGTTTTACACAACAGGAAACGGAAACGGACAGCTCAGCAGCACCGGCGGTTAGAATTTTGAAACACTCCTCGAACTCCCGAAGGCCCGAATCCGTCCATTTTCCCTCTCCTCTCTCCTCCGCTCCTCCGCTCGCTCCGGTCTCCGCCGTCCCTTCTCTCCGACCCAAAAGGGCAACGAAATCCAGACACCGCTCCCCATCTCCCCTTCCTTCCTTTCTTCCCTACTCACACACTCCCCCACCCTCCACTACTAGTACTCCTAGTACCACCGCCACCCCACCGGGAAAAACCGAACGAGGGGTCGGGCCGCCGCCGCCGCCGACCCCCGCCACCGCCGCCGCCGTGCAGATCGCGGCCGGATCTACGGCGCTGGGGCACGGGGGTCCCCGGATCGACGCCTCCGCCGCGGGTGAGCCTAGCTTCCTTCCCCTCTCCTTCTTCCCGGCCCGGCCTTCACTTCTTGAGGGTTCTTGCGGGGGTTTCTTCCTCCTCTTCTCGCTGCCTCCAAGAACCTCGGGGGTTAGGCTAGGCTTTCTTTCTTGGAGGGGAGAGGACTCGTGGGGCTTGGGACGGGGCCAAGAAACCCCCTTGCGCCGGCCTTGACTTGACCGCCCCAAGAGTCGAGGACGAACTATTCCTATTCTGCGAATAAAGCTTCTTTTTGGTGCGATTGTCCTATCCTGGACGGGCCTGCCTGCGGTACGGCGGAGGTACCGTCTAGCCTCCCAAAGAAACGCCGACGCGTCCTCGCTGCCACGTTACAGGAGCTTTTTTACGCGGACTATGTGGTCTGACCATGCTGCATTCTTGATCCGGAAATTGTCATGTGTCGCAGCCTCACTGTCGCACCCGTTCGTTTCAATTTCATAATGCGAATGCAGCATTCCCTCAGAGATCCAGACAAATAATCCTTTTTACGCTAAGAGAGGAATTGCTTGTAAAAAGAAAAAAAGAAGAAGAAATTTGGGGTGCAGATTTGTCACACAAGAGGAAATAGAATTGGCCAGGTCCCAAGTTTAGATTATTTCTGTTTAAATTTGTGGGTTTCTCATTCTTTTTGTTAAATATTTCCAGCACGAGAAGTATTTTGTTCAGATGATAGAAACTTGAACAAGCCAGTTATGTGGTGCTTTTGTTATTAGTATGCCCTGTACTGTGCCGGTTTTGTTCTTCCTCTGAGTAGGTTTGAAACATGAATAGTTTGACATTAATATAAACATGATTTCAATTTCATCAACTTGTTGATGAAGTTTTGATAGAAAATTATACAACCTTGCTCTTCAGTCGTTGACTTTAGCCATTTCGCGACCATTCCTAAGTGCATAGTACTGTTCACTTGTTCAGCTCCCCAATACTATAATTGCTCATTATATGAAGTCACATAGTCCTTTTATTTTACAACATTCAGGTTCGGATGGCTGCACGAAAAGAAAACCCTGAGCTTATTGCGTGTCAAGCACCCAATGGTCGAATCACGCGAGCTCAAGCCGCTGCAAATCGTCGAAGCTTTGGAGCCCTCCCTTCTGTTCCACTGCCTGCAAAAACTGAACGAAAACAGACTACACAAGGGAAGACGAAAAGGGGATCTTCATATGACAACACTAGTGCAAGTACTGCAATTTCTGGCCCCCAGCCTAAGAGGCGCACAGTACTCAGGGATGTGACCAATTTGCGTAATGCTAACTCTAACAAAACTTTTGCTGCTGCACCAAAGGTTCAGGTATCGAGTTGTTCCCTGCATATTTGCATTATCGTACAATGAGTTCTCGATGCGTACTGTTTCCTAAACATTGCAAATGTAGTAGAATGACAAGGTTAACTCCTTTTTTTTTTTCAGACAAGGCCCTCCCTAAGGACTGGAAGAACCGTGAGCAAAGGCAAGCAGTGCACAAAAAGGATTCCTAAAATACCCCCACCAGCTGGTAATGGAGGTTCATTCGCCAATGATTCGAACATTGCTGAAGAAACGCAAGAGGAGAAACTTTTGGCACAGAAAGAAGAACCTATTCTTTTGCTTGAGAACAGGGGCTCACTGTCATTGCAGAATGTTGAAAGGAACAGGGACAGTGCTTGTCATGAGGCATTCTTTAAGGAAAGAAATGTCAGGGATATATGTGAACCTTCTGTGTCAAAGAATGGTCAGTTCCATTTCCTTTTTGAGCTTGAAATTTGCTCTTAAAGATTTGCCAGCATCACAGCCACACTGAGTCTGAATAATGTTCAAGGCTTTTTCTTACCTTAATATGTTACAAAATGCAGCTGGCACCCTTGCTTTTACTTGAGTATAATCTTGATGGTCTTTCTGGAGTATTAGAAATCTGAAGAAACTAAAGCTTGCTGCTAATGTTCTTTATTTTGTCATTTCTGAGATACCTGTAGATAGTCTTAACGTTTCTGATTAGTGGCCAACTGCTAAAGATTCTGTATTTTCTTTCAGGGGACTCTTCTGTGTTAGACATTGTAGATATCGACAAAGATAATGGCAATCCTCAAATGTGTGCTTCCTACGTTGTAGAGATATACTCAAACCTTATGGCTTCAGAGGTATGCTGTTGTATTTTGATCAAAACAGAAATTCTGCTTAGTTGTACTGTTTAGGCAGAATTCTATTTGATTTAATATATTTCAGATGGTATGTTAAGCATGTAAGAACTCCAGATTTAGATTTATGTGTTATATTCTTGGCACATTGTGCTTGTTTAAACGGTATGTGTCTATCTTTATGTTTATGTCATTCCACAGCTTATGAGAAGACCCAGTCCGAATTACATGGAGGGTTTGCAACGGGACATCACTAAGGGCATGAGAGGAATACTCATTGATTGGCTTGTGGAGGTTGTTATATCTATAATTCTATCTGGATTTCTGCTTATTTCCATACATGATTTATTCAACTACGTCCTTAAGTTGCTATCAGATGATTCAACTGTAGCGTTTCATAGCATACTCTGCATAGAAACTGATGCACATATCTGCCAAATGTGAAGTATGACCCAGCAAATAAGAAAATTACTGTTATTTTATTCCAATAAACAGGAGATAAATTATATTGTATGTTTGAATCAGTTGCTGATGATCCTTTTATCTTTTGTTCTTGTAGCAGTGCCTGAGACATTAAAGTGGCAAAATAATGTTTACTTTCTTTAGAGACTAACTGTCTTTGTACATCTCATACACACAGAAGCATCTAGTTTGTCTTTTGTCTTATAATGAAAATATTGTATACCTCTTACTGTCTACTTCTCACTTCTCATGACTGATGACTCGGCTTATGGGGTGTTATATATTGTCTTTGTCACAGGTTTCTGAAGAATACAAGCTTGTTCCAGACACGCTGTACCTAACTGTATATCTTATTGACCGGTTTCTTTCTCGGAACTACATTGAAAGACAGAGACTACAACTTCTGGGAATAACAAGCATGCTTGTTGCCTCGTGAGTTTTATGCTCTAGCCATTCTATTTTTTAGGAGGAAAACTTTAAAATACATAGATATAACATAAGTTTTCCCTAGAAGCTAGGCTAGTTTCCTCTTTGGCTAATATAATGAATAACTCTGTAAGTAAATTAATTTTTTAATTCATTTGCAGAAAGTATGAAGAGATATGTGCTCCTCGAGTTGAAGAGTTCTGTTTCATAACCGACAATACATACACAAAGGCAGAGGTATTTGTTTCATGTGAAGTTGGGGAAAAACTAATTACATATGTGGAAGCAACCATTGAATTTGTATCTGATAACCCCCTGATCTAGTAGGTGCTGAAAATGGAGTGCCAAGTGCTGAATGACCTGGGATTTCATCTTTCTGTTCCAACAACAAAAACATTTCTCAGGTTACCGTTCCCAAATATGCCTAGTATCTCTTTTCTAATGGGAAACCACCACACCATTACTCACATGTCTCCCTTTTTTATTTTATTTATTTTTATATCAGGAGATTCCTTAGAGCGGGACAAGCATCTCGTAAAGTAAGATTGGCATCAGATCTTTACAGCAACAGTTTTCATTCAAGTTATGCCTACATGTTTGATCTCAGCTCTAAATTCTGAAGTTTATCTGCAGACTCCTTCTATGACCTTGGGATTTCTGGCAAATTATCTTGCCGAGTTGACTTTGACCGATTATGAGTTCTTGAAATTTCTTCCATCATTGGTGGCAGCATCGGCTGTGTTTCTTGCTAGATGGACGCTTGACCAATCCGACCAACCATGGGTACGCATGAAAAGCACTTGGTACATGCAGCAGTACATGCTTTAAAAAAGAACTTGGTTTTATGTCTAATCTGTGGCTATTCAATTATGTGCAGAACCAAACTCTAGAGCACTACACCTCTTACAAATGCTCTGACATTCAATTATGTGTCTGTGCTCTACGGGAACTCCAGCATAACACCAGTAACTGTCCTCTTAACGCCATCCGTGAAAAGTACAGACATCAAAAGGTATGCAACCACATCCTGCTGTTTGAATTCCTTCCACGTTGTAGCGGCAAGTAAAATTGAAGCTGTTCCACTTAGCTCCTAAAAGGAGGACTACCGAACTTAACATTGTCGATCTTCTAACACTATGCTGGTTGTTCTGCTGCAGTTTGATTGCGTAGCAAACCTAACTTCACCGGAGCTCCCTCGGTCGCTCTTCAGCTGACACGCCAATGACACCGGTTACCCTTTGATCAGCGACGTTAGCTGCAGTCGTAGCTCGGGCTGCGTTAACATTATTGTAGCATCCCCCTTCCCTCTTTTCCCCATTTTCTGATTTGGTTGTGTTGTCATCGAGCTGTTGTGTCCCGGCCTTTTTCGAGTCGCAAGTAAGAAGAAAGACAGGTAGATGGCTCGTTGGCTTTTTGGTTTGACGTAAGGTTTACCCGATTGTAAACAACACTGTGTGTAGGGCTTGGCTTGGGCTGTTATTAACTGTAAGATGGTCCGGCTTGTGTAACAAACAACGGAATGCTGTTTGTTTTGACACAATTCGTTCATTGTTAGCTTCGAAATGGAAATTAGTTTATTAGTTTATTGCCAGTGGTTACTTTCTGTCTAGATGGTATGCCTGCTTCGGTGATTCTTGTTGTATATGGTTGATAGATAGTGGCAGCAAGGGCATCCAGGTTTGGCCATTTTTGGGTCGGCTGGTGGCCGTTATCTTCCTGACTAGTGACCAACCTGCCAACCTGTGTGTGGCCTGTGGGGAAGACATGTACACGCGAGGCCCGGAACACCTGATTCTGGGAATTATGCTTGTTGATTTCTTTATTTCTTGTTTGAGTCAGACAGATTGTCCGTTTCATCTGTTGTGCTATATGAGTATCTTTTTTTTTTATTGATGAAAAAAAAATGCTGTGTCACCCAATTCCTGGGTGTTAAAATGAATGCGACTTTGTATTGTTCCCGGTGACAGCTCAAACAAATTGACCCCATTGTGATGGTTTACCTAGTAGTAATAACTCCGCTGCTGAGGAGATAGTTGTTACTCAGCTAACAATTAACAATTAGATACGTTGCACTTCCTGAAACTATGGATACAGAGCAGAGGCAAGGCTTGTTTGCCCTTTGCCGTGTGTTATGCTCAACTGCCGATTCATGGATGCCTTCCTGTACTGGAAGGGGCGGAGGAAACGAACAATGGGGTGGGGTGGGGACAGGACAGAACAAAAGTAGCCGGGCGGCCTTTCCGCTTCCGCCGGTGCAAGCCTGCATTGCAATGCAATCTATGGTGGGGGCAGGTCGACCGGTCGCCTCGCCGGTGACATCAGGCATGAGATGAGATGAGATGAGCGAACGATGGTCTGGCGGGCGCCGTGTGCCCATCGCAATTACGCCCCCGCCTATTCGCGCCGCGGCCGCGGCTGCGGATGCCCTCCTCCATACACCCCACGACCGCCGTCGCAGTCGCCGTCGCTGGCCGGCCCCTCCCGCCTTTCCCGATTGAATAAGCCAAACGATCGAAAGCTGCCGCATTGATGGCCGGCCGGCCGGCTGGCCCCGCGCCCTGCAACCGACGGGCGCCTGCTTTTCGCTCGACCCACCCGACCCGACCAGACCGGCGCCACGACGTCCACGGCGCGCCATTTATGGTTATATGGCGCCGGGACAAGTGGAGAGACAGCAGACGAGGCGACGCGAGTCGCGACGTGAGAGGAAGAGGACGCCCGCATACCGGCTGCCAGTAGTAGATGTCTCGGCACCGTACGTGCTACGGCGGCGGCCCGAGGGTCGGGGCGTGCGTGGCTGGCCGGAACGAACGAGACCAGACGACACGACACCTCGCCGAGAACCATGAGGCTGCCATGGCTGACCGCGCCGGGGAGGTAGGCAGCGACATCGACGTCGACATGGATGGCAGGCACGCCGTCCATGTGCACACTCTACAGGATCCCCGGCCAAGATCCGGTCGCCGCCCGCCGCGAAAGAACCGACAAGTCGCCAGTCGTGGACATTCCCCCTCCTCGCGTTTCCATTCATCTGGGTACATACAATACAATACAATGGAATGGAATGGAACAGTATCGTCTGCTTTCGCGCTCGTGTCTCCTCCCACTGCATGCAACACGAATCTAGAAACACTGCAACTCTGCCGTATTTGTGGTGTCTACAATGTCAACGCAGTGGAATAATCCAGCAACGCTAGAATGAAACTCTGAAAGCAAGAAAATGTGAACACAAAGGTTGGAGTCGAGTCGGATCATCAGCAGCAGCAGAAAGAAGGCAGATGGCTGTGTCGTCTCTACAGCACAGCACGTGCAGCGAATCCAACGAGCATGCAATCCACACCATCCCCAGACGACGTGGCGGAAAGCTGCTGGCTGCTGCTGCTACTCAGCGCTCGCCATCCGCGGCAGTACGTGCAGCGACACAACCCGCTTCCCGGGCGGCGCCGCCACCTCCCACACTCGGGGCCGGGGCGCCGCGGCGGCGGCGGCGGGGGCACCCCACCGGCGTGAGGGCGGCGGCGGCGAAGGCCTGCAGGGCGCCTCGTCGACCACGACCACCTTCTCGCCGCCCTGGGCCGCCACGCACACTCGGCCCCCGCCCGCCGCCATCTCGGCGGCCCCCTTGAGCCGCTCCGACTCCACCACCGTCCGCCACCGGTCCCCGGCCCAGTCATACGCGCTCAGCGCCCCACGCTCCTCGTCCACCACGAAGATCCGGTCGCCGCCCGCCGCGAAAGAACCGACAAGTCGCCAGTCGTGGACATTCCCCCTCCTCGCGTTGCGATCCTTTCCATTCATCTGGGTACATACAATACAATGGAACAGTATCGTCTGCTTTCGCGCTCGTGTCTCCTCCCACTGCATGCAACACGAATCTAGAAACACGTACTGCAACTCTGCCGTATTTGTGGTGTCTACAATGTCAACGCAGTGGAATAATCCAGCAACGCTAGAATGAAACTCTGAAAGCAAGAAAATGTGAACACAAAGGTTGGAGTCGAGTCGGATCATCAGCAGCAGCAGAAAGAAGGCAGATGGCTGTGTCGTCTCTACAGCACAGCACGTGCAGCGAATCCAACGAGCATGCAATCCACACCATCCCCAGACGACGTGGCGGGAAGCTGCTGGCTGCTGCTGCTACTCCGCGCGCGCCATCCGCGGCAGCACGTGCAGCGACACAATCCGCTTCCCGGGCGGCGTCTCCACCTCCCACACGCGGGGACAGGGCCGGGGCGCCGCGGCGGCGGCGGCGGGGGCACCCCACCGCCGTGAGGGCGGCGGCGGCGAAGGCCTGCTGGGCGCCTCGTCGACCACGACCACCTTCTCGCCGCCCTGGGCCGCCACGCACACTCGGCCCCCGCCCGCCGCCATCTCGGCGGCGCCCTTGAGCCGCTCCGACTCCACCACCGTCCGCCACCGGTCCCCGGCCCAGTCATACGCGCTCAGCGCCCCACGCTCCTCGTCCACCACGAAGATCGTCGTCTCCTCATCGCCGCCGACCGGGACGGCGGCCGCCGGGCCTTTCCATCCCGCGAGCATCCCGGGCGGCATGTCCTCCCACCTTGCGGCGCGCAGGTCGAACACCGCGCCTTCCTTGGCGCCGCGGCCGCGGAGGCTGACCATGCACACCTTCCCCGCGGCGCAGACGGCCTCCGCGGTGTCGCGACTGAACCGCGCGTCCCGCATGGGCGGGATCGGCTCCCACCCCGCCGCGGACGCCGGCGCGGACGCAGGGTCCCACGTGGCGCCGGACCGGGCGTCGCTGGCGTCGTAGCCGGCGCCGACCCCGCCAGCCACGAACACGCGCCCGCGTGCCGCGCCCGCCGCGCACCACCGGCGCGGCGCGAACGGGAACCGCGGGCCGAGCCGCCACGCGCGCGCGGCCGGGTCGAAGACCACGGGGCGGGGCAGCGCCGGGGCCAGCGACCGCGTGGACCCGGCCACGACGACGAGCCGGCCCCCCGCGGCCACGGACTGGAGCGGGAGCCGCCGCGAGAGGAAGGACGGGTGCCATAGCCTCGGCGGCGAAGACGGCATCGGCGGCGCCGGCAGGTCGTCCCACCGCCCCGCCACGGCGTCGTAGGCCGCGAACGAGACGCCGCCGGTGGAAGCGGAGGCGTCGTCGAGGACCGCGTAGAGCGAGAGGAACGGCGGGAACGAGGGCGAGTAGAGCAGGCGGCGCCAGGGGCGGCAGACGGCGTGCAGGAGCCGGGGCGGGAGCGGGGCCAGGCAGAGCTGGGCGAGGTGGTCCGGCAGGCCAGGGAGCAGGGGCTGCTCCTCCTGTTCGTGTTGCTCCGGCTCCGGCTTCGCGTCCATGAGCGCCGGTGCCGCGGCCGTGCGGTGCCGTTTGTTGGGCTCAGCTGCGGCGGCGGCGGGGGCCTGCCAGTATGGGCGCTTGGCCGCGGCGGGCGCAGCCATGGCGGGAGCGGTCAGTACTAGTAGTAGGCGGGCGGGCCGGCGCGTCGTTGCTTGCGCTCGCACGGCGAACGCCGTGTAGTTTAGTCGGACTATTATATGGCGGCGTGCGTGAGCATCGTGTGGTGCCCGACGGCGATGTGGCGTGGTGGTGGTGCAGTTAATCTTGGAAAGGTGCCGCCGCCTGGCAGATTGGCAGGGTAGGAGGAGTGGAGGACGGAGGACGGCTAGTTGTAGGGAGAGCGAGCCATCGAGAGAGCAAGTGGACAGGCGGGCGCCGGCAGCTGTTGAATTGAACGGATCAGCCAGCAGCTGCCGCTCGTGCTCCTCTGCTTCTCCGTCCGGACGCAATTGGTGGACTGGTAGGGATTCCTGCGCCCCTTGCCCTTTTCGGCCGTCGGCAGCATGCACGTCGCACAGGGCCATGCCAGTCGCCTTTCGCCAAGACCAAGACCACACGACTCTGCCCGATGCCTTTACCGACTTCACGAATCACGACTCGCTTGATTTTGTCGCTCTGTTTGGTAGAGTTTACCCGTACGATTTCACTGTTCGAGTAGATTTGATCATGTGATTTGCGATCGATCGATCTTACTATTGGAGTTGAGATCTGGGTCGTGATTGTAGCACCTTGGTTATACTACTACACAAATTTAATGAAATATATATCTCGCTCTCTCACCTCTATTTTCAAATATATTTTGTGTGGACGTTAAAGTTGCAGACTCATTTTTTTATAAAATAAATAAATAAAACGGTGGCGAGCCGTATATGTGCTCATTGTGCACTTACAGCCTGTAGTTACCACAGCTGCATGATTGATCATTATCAATCACAAAAGCAAATTAAAAGGCTCGTGTCAGGTCAAATAACTACTCGTACTACGGAAAGGTAAAAGCCCTATTTCGGTTAGTTAGCTTTGGATCGCTATCATCATCCACTATACAGTACAGTATAAGCAAACAGCAAACGTGCCCCCAAAAAGGGCCGCTCGCACCCGTTTTGTGCCCAAGTTTGGTCGTGAGTCGTCACACGACGCACGGGCCGGATCGAATCGCCGGCCGGCCGAATCGGTAAAAACTGTTGGTGCCTTGCCTTGTATATCCTCAATCTATGTAGCAGGTAAAGACCTCAACGCCCAACAAATAAAAGCCTTGGCGAGAGATTCACGTACTTGTTTTATTTGTTTGTGTGGAAGCTCACATATACCTAGCTACACGACGAATTCTTTCTCCGTGATAACAGGTGTTAAGGCCCCGTTTCCTAGAGTTTCTCTCCCGCTCCTGTGGAGGAGCCCTACCAAATTGTTTCGTAGGGGAGGATCTGTTTGAAATCATTTCTCAGTGAAAAAAAATAAAGATTCAGAGCCGTTTTGGTGGAGCCAAAACAGCTGTGATTCCTCCAGACGAGCTCTTGAGAAGAAGCCCCAACAAACATGGCCTAAACCGTGCCTAATATTTCAGAAAAACATTAAAACGTGACAGACCGAGGTAACCGAGGATAACATGCTTCTATTCATCTAAAGAAAAGCATGCACAAAATCAAAACACGCAAGTAGAGCCTATTTGGTTGTGTCTCCCAGGCAAGTTTGTCTGGCCAGACACGGTTTCAAGGCATTTGATTTTGGCCGCCTGGGTCTAAGATCGTTGTCATGGCACGATCCAAACAACCCCGTAACGCAATGAAGACGCTGGCGCCGCCGCAATGGACGGTGATTACGTTACCCAATCATCAAGAGTGATTCGACAGCAACCAGAACTAAAACTTGGTGGGCCAATCCATAGGCGAGTGAGTGTGTCGTTGGATCCAAGGGCGGAGGGAGGGAGTGGATGAAGGGGGCCGAGGACCCCTATATATAGTAGATGCATTTTTCTTATGCACATGATATTTTACTATATACTTCAGCGAAAATATTCGTTTCCTCTCCTAATAACGTACAGTACCGTTTCGCACTTGGCCTCTCCTATCAGTAATTTTCTGGTTCCGCCCCATGCATCGAGATGGACCCATTAAAAATCTGCATCCGTGACCAGGAGCACGATGGGGGCACGGTACTTGGAGCTACGGACGGCGCGACTGGCGACAAAGGAATCCGGCCATTCCACACGCAAAGTCGTGCGGTGGTGAATCGTTTAGGATAGGAATTCGGATGTTCCATGCTTCCTTTTTTTTCTTTTCTTTCCCCACACACATGGCGCGTGAGCACACACCTTTTCGGTGGAGCGAGGAGAAAAATAAACGGAGCGAGAAAAGTAGGCAGGCGGCGAAACGAGCCCATGGGGAGCTGGGCGGGCTGTGCACTTGCCCGGTTGCGTGCACTTGCTAGCTGCTCCTGCTCCAATCCAATCCATCGCCAGCTTTTGGGACAGCAGCCAGCAGGTGAAGGTGGGGCAGGGCAGCACCACCACGCGCGCCCACGTCGACGTCGCTCGGTCATGCATGGCGCATCGCAAGTGATCGGTCAGACTAGTGATGGGCCGCCGCGCACCGGCATGGGCGCATGGCCGGATGCCCGGGACCGGCGACGGCGGCGGGGCGAGCCAAAGGACGCCTTTTTCCGGGAAACGAAAAGGCTACTGTGTTGTTGCCTTTCGCTTTCGCCGGCCTAGAAGGTACTTGCCCAGGAGCCGTGCACGCACATGCAGATGAGGTTAGGTCGGAGCAAAAGGCGTCGTTCGTCGGCTACCACCTATCCTTTCAGTTTCACCCGACTGATTTGATCAACGCCGCCTGGAGAGAAAATCAGAACACACAACACAGCGTCGTGTCGGTCTGGAACTCTGGATTCGTTGTTAATAGTACTGGGTCGTTTTGTGCTGTGCGTGCGTCTCCTATGCCACGCCATGCCATGCCCCGGAAAATACGACGACTTGGAAGCAATCCTCCTCTGCACTCGGTAGTAGAGTAGGTAGTACCCGTCGGCGTCACTCACGTGGATCGCTTCCGGAGCAGGACGAGCTGAGCCACACTCGTCCGTCGACCCGTCTGCTCCGTGCTTTCCGCCGCCGGCCACCCGGATAGATTTTTCTTCTTCTTCTTCTTCTCCGTACGTCCCCGCGACCGCGAGATATTCGTTGGCCCCTCGCCCGTTCCCGTTGGCGAGGCACGACGGGCCAAGCAGCAAGCAAGTGCAAGTTGTTTGATGGCCGCCAATCAAGTGGGCATCATCCAATTCCAGCTAAGGCCATGTTTAGATTGCAAAAAATTGCAACCTGATGAATAGTAGCGTTTTCGTCTTATTTGGTAAATATTGTCCAATTGTGGACCAACTAAGCTCAAAAGATTCATCTCGTGATTTCCAACTAAACTGTGCAATTAGTTATTTTTTTTACCTACATTTAATGCTCCATGCAAACGGCTAAAAATTGATGTGATGGAGAGAGAGTGAAAAAACTTGGAATTTTGATGTAAACTAAACAAGGCCTAAGCAAGCGAAAAGGCAACTTCTGGCCTTTAATGAGTGGCGACCGGCGACCCACCCACACCGGAATCTTCGATTATCGTCATGTCTTGCTCGCGTCCCCCGGCCCCCCGCTCCGGCCATCATCGAGTTGTTATATCTCTCTGCTATAAGGACCAATCAAAATTATATCAGGTCTCCTAAAAAAAAGTCCTCCGCTGAGAGACTACAACCATTGTGCACCAACGAAATTGTACCCAGGATTACCGTATTATTAAAATCTATGGCTCCTAATTCTTTCTCACAGGCTTCAACTTGATCCGATGGCCAACGTTATTTGGATCTCCCCCGCCCAGGCTTCAACGCATGCCTCACAAATCCCGCATGCTACGGTAAAATGAAAACCAATGGAAGTCAATCAAGGCAAATAGGAAGTAGGGATTCGTGACTCCGATTAAGGCAATTTCCAGAATTGTCATTATAATGGAAAAAAACCCACGCCAAGCCCGACCCCATTTGACGCGCCCCTTCCAAAACTCTCTGTGTTGTTCTGGTATTGCGTCAATAAGGAATGGCGACATACCTGCCAACATACCCACTCGCATGTTTCCGTCAAGAACATGTGGGACCTGGTTTGGTGACCCCACGCGTCAGTAGGAGCAGTGGAGCATCTGCAGCGTGGCTAAACCTGGAAAGGTCTACCCCTTTCTTCTCATAAAATACCAACGGCGGTACCCTGGACAAGGAAGCAAAACAGGTCACTTACAGTCCGGGCCCACAGAGAGGAGATCGATGAAGAGGGTTAACACATTTGGTATCAAAGAGAGCAGTTAGACCATTGTGTTACAAAGAGAGGAGTTAGACCACTTTGTTATAAAAGTAACACACTACACGCCCCGACCGAGTTTACAAAATAAACGAACCGACTTGACACATGATTATGAAAATAAAAGTCCATTATGAAATAGAACACGCAAGCTAGAGACAATTAGTTTTGTTCTAATTTTTTAGATATATAGCTTTTGCTATGCACCTAAGTATACATTATGTCTATATACATAGTAAAAACTACTTCCTCCGTTCCAAATTATAAGTCGTTTTGATCTTTTTGGTACATCCATTTTGTTATGCATCTAGATATAATAATATGTCTAGATACATAGCAAAATAGATGAACAAAAAAGTCAAAGCGACTTATAATTTGTAATAGAGGGAGTATGTATCTAGAAAAGCTGGAACGACTTGTAATTTAAAACAGATGGAGTACTTAAAACTTCATTGATAAATCAGTTGATTATGCCAAGAAGAAATGTTTTTTTTTCTTTTGTCCAATAATTTTCATTAGTTAGCTTTCTAATACCCGAAAATCATATGAAGAAAGAAAAACAGGATGGAAGAGAGGAAGAAACCGAGGAACAACCAGATAAATATCCATCGCGGTTCCGCACATATATTTACGACTATATCTACTATTTAATTTTAAAAAGATCAAATACAATTTTTTCTTTCATTTATCAAAAGTTAATTATAGAGTTACTTTAAGAAGCTATATCTACTTTAAAAAGCTTGGTACGGCATCTTTGATTATTTGGGATGAAATTTG